TTGACCTGGGGAGCCAGGTCAAGGACGAAAGCCTGCAACCACCCTGGACAGAGCAAAGTGTCCTGCGTAGGTCCAGGACACAGAGAGGGATGCATCCAGCTCCTGCACCAAGACCAGTCGGGGACAAAGGCCAGAGATGACCAAAAAAAAAACTAAAATGAAGCAGTCTGCTTAGGTCTTGTATGGTTCCATCATTCTGTCATGTGGGTAAAACTAAATGAGCCCAAAAACGCAGAACTGCAAAATAATGGATTTAATTAAAAGTAAAACAAATCCAAATCCTGCAAAAACACAGGGAAGAAGCACTGAAACAGATGAAGAATGACATTGACGGAAACAGGAACACACAGGGCTAAACACAAGACTAACGACACACAGGTGATTTGAGGGCGGGGCAGGTAATCAGGAAACAGGAAGTACAACTAAAGAAGACGCAGGGATTTAACAAACTACAAAATAAAACAGGAAATAAACCTAAACCATGACACTTTGTACTTAAATCTGGAGCACTTTATTCATCAAAAATACTTTTCCAAATCAGAATTATTTTATTGCCATTGTAAGTACCAGGATGTCACAAACTAGGAAGGTGCTTTGGCTTAAGGTGCAAACAAGTTGAGAGAAAATTTTGATTTAAAGCAAGCATGAAAATAAGTCTTATAACATTTCTGAAAATGTTTGTGTAAGCCCTCAGTCGTACAGGGATTAGTCAAAGCAAAGGAAGGTTTCTCACCCATCATCTGTACTTCTTAGCAAGTTTTCCCGACGTTTCGTCCTCAACCTAGCGGACTTCTTCAGGGAATGAATTCTCGGACCGCGCGTTGGAGATTTATAACCTATGGGTGTGGTTAGCCACACCCTAATCCTGATACTAACTCATAAACAATCTAAGGTCTGATGTAGAAGGGAGTAGGTCTAACGACCCTGCTGAGGCTAACGACCCTAACTCATTAGCATGTCACAGACCTATTGTCTGCTGAGATGCTCAAGTGGAGTGCAGGTTTCACCCCTCCTAACTCATTAGCATGTCACTGACCTTGTCCCAAGTTAGGGCGTTGTTTTTAGGATGTCGTCATAGATGCGAGGCAAAACAAATCTTAACCCTCCTCCTCTGTTAAGAGAAGGTTTTTGTTTCCTCACAAAAATGGCTTCTTTCACCCCTCTCTCAAACCAATTCTTCTCCCGAGCCAGAATTTTAACCTCTGTGTCATCCACCGTGTGGTTGGAGGCCTTGAGGTGGAGATGAACAGCCAACTGTGGCCCACTAGAGTTTTCTCTACGATGACATTTCTGAAAATGACTAAAAGTACACACTAAGTATCTTATTATCTCTCTTATTTTGTTCAGCACTTTGAGTTCCCTTGTGTGTGAATTGTTTCTATACAAATAAACTTGCCTTACCTTGCCTTAAGTACACACAATAGACATTTAGCAGTAGAGTAAAGTGATAGTAGTACAAGGTGACTGTCGTAAAGGGCTTAGTGATGGTTTTGAAGTGTTCAAGTGTCTGACTGCAGAGGGGAAGAAACTGAACAGAAATAAAAGTAAAATGTGCACAAATCAGACCAAAACCTTCTGTTAGCAAACATTAACACTTTTGCACACGTAAAAGAGCCCGGTGATTCATTATTTGATGCTTTGGGCTGAGAGATGAATGGCTGAGTGACAGTTGTCATCAGACGTTTCATCTAAGCTTCACCAGCTCTCAGCCCAAAGAGTCAAATTACGACTCACAGGGCTCTTTCTTACAAGTATTCCATGTACAGTGGGGCAAAAAAGTATTTAGTCAGCCACCAATTGTGCAAGTTCTCCCACTTAAAAAGATGAGGGAGGCCTGTACTTTTCATCATGTACTTCGACGGTGAGAGACGGAATGAGAAAAAAATCCAGAAAATCACATGTTCTGATTTTTAAATAATTTATTTAGAAACTATGGTTGTTATTAAGAATTTGGTCAATGACAAAAGTTCACCTCAATACTTTTATATATCCTTTGTTGGCACTGACAGAGCTCAGCTTACAAGGTTTTTACACACTGTTGCTGGTATTATGGCCCGTTCCTCCACGCAGATCTCCTCTAGAGCAGTGATGTTTTGGGGCTATTGCTGTGCAAGACAAGACCTTCAGCTCCGTTCAAAGATTTTCTATAGGGTAGAGATGCCTTATTTTCCACCATAAACTCCAAATACATTCTTTAATAATGATGTTGAATGATTCACTTTTGAGTTAGAGTTAGTACTTATTATAAGTATAAATATAAGGTTATACAGCATTATGGTATATTTTACAAGTGTTTCCCATGTTTTGTCATAATTATTACATAGATATTTATTATGACGACAAAAAGGAGTAGCTTTCTTGTGAGAGTTTGTGGAACTTATCGCACAATTCTTTTTAGTGCATATGCATTTCTCATCATGACTCCCGGTCTTCAATCAGAACTGCCAGGTCAAAATGTGTTTATAAACAGGTATAGAGAGTTAAGGTCCAAGGCCATCCATGTATTTGGAGGAGTATTCTGTGAATTACCTGTCACGTTTGATTGAGAGGCTAATTATGGAAGTATGCACAAGCAGCTGTCCCGATTCTAACATTTGGAGGTGTTAAAGAGCCACATTTTCCCGGCGTCAGCACAGGCCGAGCCACTGCTGTATGTGCTGCCCTGACTCAGCTGTCCCCATCTCTCAGCTAAGTGATTTTTGACACAATTCAACCTAAAAAAATGGCAATTAAGTGCAGTTTAATAAGTGAATGTGTCTGAGGACCATAAGGCTAAAACAATCAATGAACAAAGAAGAAATAAATCTCTAAATTTGGCACCAGAGCAAATGTTTGAAATTTGAGATAAGTTTTTGTTTCTTACTTTAATAGGTTTATTACTTGCCCAACACTTCGTTTTTCCTGGTAAGTTCCACATTGTATATATGTATAGATACTTTATTGATTACCTGTAGGAGAAATTCCGGTGTCCAGTAGCAGCAGAAAAACATCCATCCATACAGGAAAAATTAAAAAGTAGTAGCAAACAATAATAATAAAATAAAATGCAACAGCACTTTAGGTCACAGCAGCAGAGGTGGTGTAGCCGCTGGGTGGAGCAGGACAGGTCACAGCAGCAGAGGTGGAGTAGCTGCTTGGTTCGGACCATTTTTTCTGCTCAAGTCCAAAGTGATAAGCTGAATTCTTTTTTTTCAGTGAATCTCCGTTTTATCTGCTTGGTTCGGTTTGTGAATCCTCTCTGCTCTGGTCTGGATCAGTGTTAAACTATGAACACTGTACTGCAGTTACATTTACAGGTAAAAATATAAGCAAGAAAATTAACAAAAACAACTGTTTCAGCGCTACTTAGGACTTGCTGCCATTTCCAGCGCATTAGAAAGTATTTTTGTTATGCTAAAGATATCAAACCTTACCATTTTAAGTGACTTCACTGGGCTACGTTACAAGTCATATCTTTGGAGATGAGTGGAAACCCAATGTAACAATTCAGGTTTTAGTGCAGTAAAAGCATCAGTAGTTAAAAAACAATGTACACATTTAATACCATCCTGAGGTGCATTCTAAGCAGTAACATCTCCATGGCAACAATCAGGTCTAGCAGACTCCAGAAGTCACGCAATGCACCTTTAAAGCAGCAGTATTTCACATTCTGTAGGTGCGTTGTTTAGTCAAAGAAAGTTAGAACTTTGTGGTGGGGGGAGGTTGCAACAATGTACTTGCAATAAATACGCTTGTGTAGATTGAACTTTATGGCTAAGTATACTTGCTGTTCATTTGAGGTCAATTCAGACCTTAATGAATAAAATAAAATACAAATGATTTCTGGAATCATCATGCAATAATGTGTCGGTGATAAAACAGTTTCAATATCATAGTTCATCACAAAATATTGTTTGGACTAAAGAGTCCAATCCTGATAACTTATGTGTAGGCGGATTGATTATCTTTCTTTCATCTTGATACAATAGTTATATGTAACTACATATGCGTTACATGCAAAAACAAAATTTGTCATTATCATTTAGAAAGAGAAGGAAAAATACCAAATTTTCCCCAGTTTAAATGCTGTTGATCAATGTACTGAACATGTGCCATCATTATGAGCTCTAAACGGGAGAAATTGAGGCTAGTAGGTAAATAAAGCAGGCAGCTCAGGTAATTTTATTCTCAGAAAAGGTTAAATAAATGTCACTTTTTCTTAATCCACATTTATAGGATTTCCCAAGGATCCAGAGCACCTCACACATGAATCTGAAAGAGGTTACTGCCATCTGCTGGTCTGTCATTACAACAGTAACTGCAAGTACAAAAATAACAAGGACCTTGTAAAATATCTGTACAAAAATAAAATGTCCTTGCTTGACTCCCTACTGTTTTTCTATGACTTAACATTGTGGTTGTGAACTCACAAAAGGAACCTTTCAAACATTTGGATTGCAACTTTCACTCACCGGTTTGATCCCAGCTCGAACCGGTACATACTCATTCTAGGACAGCCTTGTTTATGTTAGCAAAGAATTACGCAGACGCCATTTCTATGAATCATAGGTACATTCAGGTTTCCCTATGATTGGAATCTTTAGAAGTAAGCATACTTGAAGTGGAAGGGTGGAATAATTTTGTCTTGCCCAAGAAAATAACAATTATGAATAATTGAGATGAGATCAAACCTGTGACTTATGGATTCAAACTTTAAAGAATAAACTTTCCACCTGTATAACTCAACCATAAATAAAAATCGAAATATTGCCAAACATTTACAGACTATACACATGAAAACCTTTTTTAAAATATATACCATGATGATTTTTTTTTTCTAGGTACAATAATTGCCTTGTATCAATAGTTTACCATTTAACTCTCAATTTAGAATCACCGTCCCATGACCCAACCGGCATGTACTGTACACATACCCACGTACTGTACATTTACTTTGTGGCGGCGTTAAATCTTTGTCAATGGTCTCTCTTACGAGGCCGACTGTCTTTGTTTCCATCACACTAACTGTTGTTTCCATTGTTTCCAACAGGGCAGTTTCCCATATTATTCCAGATTTCTGACTCGTAAGTCTTTTCCTCCACTGGTTTGCCAATCCAGGATCCATATCCTTGGATAGAGAGCGCCTGGAAAAACAATGTTTTTGATTTCTGGAAATCCTTGGCTAACATCTTGGTGTGAGCGTATGACTGTAAGGAGAGGAGATCATTGCGCCCAGATTTCTGACACAACTCGCGAAACAGGCAGAAGAAGTTAGCCTTGCAGACCCGGGACACAGCCATCCTGTGCAAACAAACAAAAGCTTTTCTTTCATACTAAAGATTTATATTTCATACTTATAACAGTTTTGTGACATACCCATCTAGTTTGCCTTTGGTCCCATCCAACACTTCCACACAGTTCTGGTCTGGAAAGCTCCAATTCACGCTGGATTCTTTTGTCTTCCCCGTGTGTCGTGTGGAGTCATACACACTAACCCGTCCCACCTACAGTAGACAACGTCCAGGAGACAAAAGATTACCTATAGTATTTTTAGATCAGCAGTATTGGCTCATTGTGTTTGGGGGCATGGCTTGGCAATTGCAGGCGCAAATATGACCACATCTCACCAGTCCTCAAATCACTCCACTGGCTGCCCATCAAACACAGAATACAGTACAAACTCTGCCTCCTCACATATCAATGCACACACGGAACTGCCCCTGCCTACCTCAGTGAACTCCTAACACCACACACCGCCTCTCGAAGTCTCCGTTCAACCACCTCCTCCCACTGCCTGCACCAACCCAGAACCAAACTCTCCACCATGGGAGATAGGGCCTTTCAGGCAGTAGCCCCCCGGCTCTGGAATGCCCTCCCAGAAACCCTCAGGGCCCCACAAAGTGTGGAGGCTTTTAAGAAAGGCCTAAAGACATTTCTATTCAAACAGGCCTTCTAGATATGTACAGTAATTATGTTTTTATTTTTTCCTGATGTTATATTTGATGTATTGTTTTTATGTTGTGTATCTTGGGGATGTTCCCTGTTTTTGTAGCACTCTGAGGTTTCCCTGAAATGTAAAGTGCATTATAAATAAAATGTGTTATTATTATTATTATTAATCATGTGTTAAGAAAAAGTTTATGAATGTGAGGAAGAAAAATTACAAATACTGATGTCTAATTTTAACCTATTTCAAATCAGACAATGTAAGTTGGGTACATCTCCTTCAATCAGTTGCTGTATGTTTTGGTGTTCTGACTGACTGTCAGTTCTAAACTGTGTGGTGCTAATATATAAAGCCCTTTGACCCTTACCTCAGGGTGGTTGAGCCGAAAGGGCGATGGTAGAGCTTTTGACAGTGTTTCTCCATCTCTTGCGAGTCGACAACAAACAGCTCGTGTGAGATGCCCGTGACTGTACAAATATCCTGAAACACACAATTGTAAGTCTACCGATCACAGTAATATAAATATTTCACTTCATAAGACTGTGTCTTACCAAGACTGATGGACTTTAGGTAGATGGGATGAAGGAAATGAGACAGCAGCGCCCCCTGCAGCCCAAGCACATTCCAGCGTAGGATCTTATCACTGCAGCTCATGGTGCGCAGCCTCTCCCCGTGCTGAATGCCATCCCAGGTGGGAACAATATCACTCGACTCCACAGGGATGGTGCCTTCACCTGGTACAGACGCACACTTGTGAGTAGAAAAGAAATCTTCACTGCAGAGCGGCTGACAGCCATGGTTCTTGTCACTCACCGTTCTCAACTTTAGTTCGTAACTTTCCTTGTTTAGCATTCTCAAAAAGGGGCTGGTGACCCACAGCTTCATCACCCGCTTCACTGCAGGATTTATCGAAGAGAGCCCCGTCTCCACATGGTGCTGTACTGTGAGAAAGAGGTGGGCATAAACACACATGCAAGTGACTACCAAATCCAAGGTGTGTGAATGATGAGAGTGAGGTTAAAACATCCCATAGTCTCACCTGATGTAGAGGTGAAAGGTGATGTCGGATTTTATTCTCAGCTTGTTTTCGTCAGCTGGCTCAAATATACTGTCGTCTGCTCCATCAAAGTGTCTGAGCAGCTCACTATACAGAAACCTGATAGCAGAGAAGAGGTACACTTGTACTGTACTGCAGACTGTGTCTGACAAGCAAAGTATATTTAGAACTGCGGGGATTTTTTTACCGGACGAACCCCCTTCTAGAGATGATCTCTGCATGGCAATCATTTACAGTCTCCCCTTTAAGACTCAGTTCCTCTCCTTTAACACAACGATTACCTGGTGAGGACAAAACAACAGATTTCATCAAAGAACACAGTAATGCACCCTCAAGGTCATTTTCAGGCCCAGTGTGAGCATATATGTACATTCAAATCTGTAGGGGCTGAAAGTTGAAAGCTGTAACATTCTTGTTTATTAGGCTACATTTACCTGTCCCCAGGCTGACCACAGTGCCCAGACCCTCTCCTCTCCTCATAACGATGGTGGCAAGAATCTTGCGTCCTAGAAGACTGTGCTGTATCCGTGTGGTCAGGGCATTAAAACGCTGGTGACTCAACATTGCTATTTGGTCGTGCAGAGTGCTGCCACTCACTGGAAGCTACAAAGACAAAGGACAATGAAGGCAAAGAACTTTCTAATTTTTAGACCCAATTATTGTTCGATCCATGAAAGTCATAACAAAAGAGGTCAAACCTCTGCAGGGATGAGTTCTCCTGTTCGTGCCGCTTTCTCAGCCTCTCCAATCAGAATCCTCAAAGCAGCATCCGCTGCCTCCTGTTTGCCTTGTTTCTTGTTGGAAGCACAAACGGGAGGAAACCAGCGCCCACCCAGTTTAGCCTGGTACGTGAACCTGAGCAGTGAAAATGATGTGTACAAATAAATCTCTCAAGAATAATTTAACATATTACCAACTTTGGCTCATGTGCTGGTCCAGACTGGTCCACAAGTCGGATCTCTGCAGCAAATCCACGAGCTCTTGCATATTCCAGCAAGCCAGAAACAGCATTGTTGTTGAGATAGTTGATTAGGTCGCCTACTCCAGCCTCATGCGCCGCTCGCAGTGCGTCTGCAGTTAAAGGGGGCAGGGGTAGACACGGGTTCCCAAAGGCTTCATCATCATTGAAACTACTCAGTGGAAAGTGGGGCTAACGATGAAATAAAAAAACAATGTTATTTGGATTTCAGAATATACAGATTGTGTGCGTTTCTCACCTTATTGGACTGCAGTCGACCCTCTGCCATCAACTCTTTGACTGCCTCCTCTGCTGCCAGCTGCCGGGCAGCCTTTTTGCTTGAAGCTGAGGCTTCTGGGAATAAAGTCTCTCCAATCTTCACCTGGTACATAAACCTAAAAAAGGTGTAATATTATTATTGTCTAGATGTGTGGATATCTGTTAACCTATTGAGACCGGGAACGCATTCCCGCATTTCTACCTTTTAAGCCTGGAGCGCCTGCACACTTCTACCTTTAAGGCCGGGAAAGCAGACACGTCTTTTTTTACTTTTTATAACCCATTCTCTTCATTGATCAATTCTCTTGACCAATGAAATGCATCAACATATACCTGTGATGAGAATTATCTACGGATCCGCGATAATTCTCATTATAATAATACACGGCATTTATGTCAGCCCTCAAATTCTTTTGAAATTATGTTTCTATCTGCTACAGAGGCCGAGATAATCATTTAGTAGACGTTGAATTTCAGGAAAACTTCAGGAGGGTGGTTCTGAAGTCGGCCATAGGTTTTACAGGTCTGTTTTATCAGGTGTGTCAGGCCTAAATGGGTTTAAGTAACAACGAGAAAAGCACTAGTAGAGTGCTTTTCTCAAAATGCAATCATTTTTATTGCCACGTAAGTAACAGGAGGTCACAGGAAATTGCTTTGGCTCAGTGCAAGTCAGAAAGAGAGAATAAAAAAATAAAGAATAAAAAACACTTCTAAGGAATAAATGTAAAATTAAAATTAAAATAGAGTTACAATTACTATATACAATATACAGTGCACATACCCCTGCCAGGAGGCGTGGTTCTATTTAAAGAGCGACTAAACACCTGTGCCCAGCCTTACTCCGCCCACATGAAGATTTGAAAATTTTCTCTAAAAAGGGCGTTACCTGGAGGACTAAGGGACAAGAAGGGGGGCTTAGAGTTGGGCGTGGTCTGGGCTGTGATTGACAGCTCACTTGTCACACACAAAAAAAACAGACAGTTGTCATTGCTGCTTAAAGCAATAGTTTACAGACCAGAAAGTCTCATTCCACCCTTGTTTACACACTAAGATAATTGTAAAGCTACACACCTGAACCTAATCACACTCAATAATCTCAGAATGACTCATGTAATTTAATTTTAATCCACTAGATGGCGCCAGAATACTCCAAACTGCAGCTGGGGCGTGTGTGAGAGTTGGATGGGTTTATATCACTGGCTCTGACAGACTGACGTCACACAAAACAACTGATGTCATAGAGAACTTCAGAGTCAATGGAGAGGCCAGAACCAAATTCAAATGTAGTACCACCAAAAAGGTTGAGAGGGCACCACACATTTTTTTTTGGCTCAAAAGTGATATTTTATCTAATTTGAACTAAAATGTCAAAAAAATGACCAGGATATGTAGACAGCACTACAATAAACATACTTATGCAGTTTATGAGTTAAAAAAAGTTGATTTGGTGTTTAGTCGCTCTTTAAACGAAATTTCTGGATCCAGACTGTGATCCTGATCATAGGTTTTAGCCATACTCTTTTACACATAGATTTATTTTCCACTGGGGAAACAAAGACATGAGCAGCACAGAACAATCACAACACTATTAGGTTTGATCAAGGAAAAAATAAGATCCTGCCCAGGCGGTGTGTTATTGTCACGCATGCCAGTCTTTCATCTTCAATGCCCATGCAGATGGAAGGTTTTCATTCAAAATCTCACAATACATGGCCCCATTCATTCTTTCCTTTAAACGGATTAGTCATCCCGGTCCCTTTGCAAAAAAACAGCCCCAATGCATGATGTTTCCACCCCCATGCTTCACAGTAGATATGGTATTCTTTAGATGCAACTCAGCACTCTTTCTTCTCCAAACACTATGAGTTAAGTTTCTACCGAAAGGTTATATTTCGGTTTCATCTGACCATAGAACATACTCCCAATCCTCTTCTGGATCACCCAAATGCTCTCTAGCAAACTTCAGATAGGCCTGGACATGTACTGGCTTAAGCAGGGGACACGTCTGGCACGGCAGGATGAGAGTCCCTGGCGGCGTAGTCTGTTACTGATGGTTGCCTTTTTACTTTTGGTCCCAGCTCTCTGCAGGTCATTCACTAGGTCCCCCCGTGTGGTTCTGGGATTTTTGCTCACCGTTCATATGATTATTTTGACCCCACAGGGTGAGAGATCTTGCGCAGGGTCCCAGATTGAGGGAGATTATCAGTGGTCTTGTATGTCATTTTCTAATAATTGATTTCTTAACACCAAGCAGCTCATCTATTGTAGATTCACTCTTCCCACTCTGGTGCAGGTCAACAATTTTGTTTCTTGTGTCCTTTGACAGCTCTTGGGTCTTGGCCATAGTGGACTTTGGAGTGTGACTGTTTGAGGCTGTGGACAGGTGTCTTTCAGACTGATAACGAGATCAAACAGGTGCCATTAATACAGGTAACGAGTGGAGGGCCGAGCCGCCTCTTATGGGCTGTATGCACGGGGAGGCGTGACGTCATTTCCTGTTAACAAAGTCTATGCTATCGCTATGGCTTTTAGGCGAATTGTAGTGACGTTTTTTAGTAATTAGATTGATACAGAAGAGCTTCAGAAGAAGTTACAGGTCTCTGAGAGCCAGAGATCTTTGTTTGAAGTGACCAAATACTTATTTTCCACCATAATTTACAAATAAATTCTTTAAAAATGCTACAATGTGAATTCCTGGATTTTTTTTCACATTCGGTCTCTCACAGTTCAAGTGTACCTATGATGAAACAGACCTCTGTCATTATTTTAAGTGGGAGAACTTCCACAATCGGTGGCTGACTAAATACTTTTTTACCCCACTGTATATTGTTCCTGTTTGTAACAGAAAATTTAAAAACACTGAAAACCTTGAAATCAGAGTCGGCGCTTCCTATACGCAGACTACGCAGTATGCGTAGGGGCCCGCAGCGGGAAGGGCCCCGGAGTGCCAACTTTTTTTTTTTTTTTTTTTTTTAAATCGCTCTCACTCATGCAGTTACGAGGCCCTTCTTATTCGGAATCACCCATTTGATTGGTTGTCACTTGCTGTCTCCCATGATCCTCATGCGTTACGTCCTTACGTCGCGCTTTCAACCCTCCCCTCCCTCCACCCTGTTGTTGTCGGTCGCGCAGCCACATACAGTCTATGGCAGCCAAGAGCAGAGGCTGAGACGCTATGAAGCAGAGTTATGAAAAAAGGAAAAAAAGACCGCAAACTCCGGGAGCAGTCAGGTAAAAAACGTGTGGTTACCGACCCGACGCATTGACTGTCTGAACAGAAAGTTCAAAATTGTGTCTGACATGTTTTATCTCTGTTTTTAACGAGTCCCAAAACAACTTCATCAGTCAAGCTCTTTGTTGTGTTTAAGGTGGACACCTTCAAAATAAACGTACTTCCTTTGGTAATCGGAAGTATTTTGTTATATTTCAGATTTAGACATAATACTTACTGTTAGTATAATGCAATACTAATATTAATATTAAGGTAATATATTAGTACTAGTGGTGATAAATGAAACTAGTTATTATATTTTATATAAAATATATATATATATTACTAATATTTGTATTTTAACATGTTTGCACACTTCTGTCTTTTGCACATATGAGTTATTCTATCCATGCCAAATGTGACATGTACATTTCTCCTGTGTGAGATCAATAAAGTCTATCTTATCATAGCTTATCTTTTATCGTGTTTGAAAAGTTAAAATGTTATTTTATCTTGTGTTGAATCAATCACTAATCAATTCTTATTTTGCTTGATAAGTGTGAATTATTTATTTGTAATATATATGTGTAATGGAACGCCTGCTTGTTTTAATTTTTATGGTTTCTTGAATTAGGTGTAGGGCCCCTATGCTGACTTCTGCTTAGGGCCCCAACAAGGCAAGCACCAGCTCTGCTTGAAATGGTGCCCGAGAGAAAGAGGAGAGAAACAACAACAATATTGTGCGTTTGGTCAGATGATGACAGATTTTAGGGCAAAGCAGCATGCTTTAATGTAGAAGTATCATGTGATGCGGGTGGATTAGAAGCAGAAGCCACCAATACCTAGGGTCGTGTGGTGGACCGGCCTGACCGGTCAAAATGAAGTCTATGGAAAGACCGCTACGTTGGCTGTATTCCATCAGGACAGACACTGGATTCTTTCCCCCAGGAAGTGAAGAGGACAGGGGCTGCCGAGCTCCATCACATGTCTTTGTCTCTTCTCCATTGACTCCTCCTGCCATGTCTTCAAGGGTCCCCTAATAAGAGAACATTTTTCTTATCACTAAAAATGAAGAATATATTCAATATAACATTTTGGCTCACGTTTTAGTACAAAGTTATGTATTCGCTTTCTGAAACAACTTCTTCCTCTCTTTTCATACACACTAAAGCACGCTCCAGTGAAGGAGATGACACAATATTGTTGCAAACGAGGAGAGGGGAAGTATATTTTTTGCTGATACCAATCAAGTCAGAATCGAAGCTGACTGTGTAATTTATAAACTATGGCCAAGGAAAGTATCACAGAAATCATCAAGTGAAGGTCTTGATAAATGAAAGAAAACACCTAGCTGAAACAGGATTTATTCGGATGTATCTGAATAAATAAAGATCAAGTAATTTTGACCACCACGTCTATTTATTGTTGTTATACTTTGGGAGTAAACCCTTGTCACACTGATGTAAATGTCGATAAATTTAAACTTGTGATATTTGAGTCAGTAGTGGGCAGGGCTTTGACAATAGAAGGCACTGTGTCCATATGAGTGAAAAGGGAATATGCCCGAAAGCCAAAGCTCAGAGAATCTCATGAAAGAACTTGTGCTCAGAGGAGCCTTCAGTGACTTGTTAATAGAAATGTGTAGGAAAAGGGAGAAAGTAGATTCCGGAAAGGCCCTTACACTTTCTGAAATTAGACTTGTAGCCTGGCCCACTGTGGCAGTGCCTCCCTCCACCCCTGAGCCAGGCCCACCCTGCATTTCAGCAGCCAGCACTCGCAGAGCAGCTTCAGCAGCATCTTTTTTTGCCACTTTTTTGCTTGAGGCTTCAGCAGCTGGAAACAGTTTTCCATTCAGCATCACCTGCATACGGAATCTTAAACAGGCAAAATAAAACAAAAGTTTCACTACCTCTTCATCTTCGGGTTAAGACACAAATCAGACATTTCTTGTGACACAAGCTCAGACACAACAAGTACGTTTACAAAGCACAAGTATGATAATAATAAAAAACAGATGTGGTTTCCAAAACCGGTCAGGATCTTGTTTACGTGGTTATATGCTAGCATAAACTAGTAAAACGTTTTTCAATCCAGTTAAGCCAAAATAATTGTTTTTCACACTTCAATCAGCACACCAGTGTACATAAGTCTTGCTCAATCTAACGACACGTTATCCAGTTTTCACTAGTGCTTTGTAAACATAGTCAGCATCAATCCAAACCTTGGGTCGTGTGATGGTCCTGATTGGTCAAGTAGGAGGAACTCACAGCTCTCGCCAATATATTGAGCGTATTCCATCAGTCCACTGACTGGATTCTTCAGTTTAACCTCTTGTAACTTCCCCAAAAAGTTCTGAGGAGGAGGTGCAGCCAAAGACACAGCTACAATCCCCATGTTGTTACCTCTCATTGCATCCGTTTCTTTGCAAATGGCATTAAGGAACTCTGGGAAGCCATCAGTTGCCCACCCTTCACTGGACTCTTTACCCTTAGGTAATCTGAAAGCTGAGGCCTATGGGGAGGGAGAAAATAAATACATACATATATTCAAATAATTAATATGTTTACTTACTGATTCATTGTGTTCATAGTCGGGAGACCCTTTCTCTTGCTGCTGCAGCGGTTCTAAACCTAGTAATGACGAGGGTAGTGATGGCACATATGTAGAGCAGCCTTTTTTTTTATTTGTAGGACTTTGTCCCAGTTCCTTCTGACTTGATGAGGTCTCTGTGGCTGCGATACTTCTCTCCATCCTTTCCTTACGGTGAGCCGACAGCTCCCAGGTTGGCGGATTTACATCACTATTTCTGATGACTTCTCCTTGTTTTTCCAGAGCAACAAGTGTTGGGTTGACATACTTGACACCATTAACTCCCAGATTCTTTGCAATATTAAGAGCTGTGGCTTCTACCACACCCAGGAGATATTCCAAAATGAGAGTTTTGAAATGTGACATTGTTCTAGCTCATGGGGTTCTTTATCAAATATCAATGCTGTTCAGTCCTTTGTTTGCAATTTCTTCAAAAGGATGAAAATCAGATGGTACTTAAAAATTCAAATCTGAAACAGATCAACAATAGCCACACATGTATAAAAATAAACAATACAACTTTTTTTACAATGGAGTGAGGCAGTAAACACAGGTGATTGAACAGACTAGCCACCCTACAGGGTTACAGCATTTATATACCGCCTTTTCACTGCACATCAGAGTCTCAAAGCGGTTTAAAATTGTTATTTTTGGGCATTTGTCTCTCGCTCCCCACAGAGATGGGAGCGGGGTCGCCAGTACAGGAGGCGCATGCCAGACCTATTGTACATATTTTTAGTGGTAGGGGAAACCGGAGTACCCGGAGGAAACCTACGCAGACACGGGGAGAACATGCAAACTCCACTCAGAAAGGCCCTGGTCCGACCGGGATTCGAACCACGTGGCAATAGGTAATCCAAATGCCAATACGAATACTTTGGTAATTTATTACTCTAGCGCAGCGGTTTCCAAATGCCAGAGCTGATATTCTATAATGAATATCATGCAAATAAGGACATGAGGAGGTGATCGCTGTGTGTGTACGTGTGCGTGTGCGTGTGTGACCTGTATAGCTTGAATCTTGATCTCTTGGATTTTCCTTTTAAGTTTAAACCTGAACACAGACACACACAAGTGGTGAAAAGCAGTATTTGTGTTTCATAATCATTTTTGCTCCACATTAAGCTGGTGACACTGTTGGAGGATAACCTAATCATTATCAATATTTGTATTATTGGGTAGCTTTGCCATATCAATATTGTACTTACAACACTTTGCAATGAAACAGGGGAAAGAGCTGGAATCTTGAGTTAATATAAAATTTACAGAAGCTCGATCCCAGTGCATAGTTGAAAAAACAAGCCAACTTGTCTGAAAGAATGTGTGAATAAAATAATAAATATGCTGGGTTTTCCCAGAAATAAATATTGTGCATGGAAGACTTTATCTTGAAACTGATGTCTGGGTGAAATATGCTGATGCTGGGTGTCTACCTGGTCAAATAATAATAAAGAAAAAGCTAAAAGAGAAAAACACCTACCATAGATATCCGTTTTCATAGCGTTTAAAAACTGTTTAGTGAAAAGCCCGAGGCGGTGCTTTAAGCACTGAATGACCATCTTTGAGCATGCACAGTTAGAGAATTAAATGACAGCAAAGTCACTTTGCTGTCATTCCAGTTATGAATGGAGTGTTTTATTACTTCCTTCAGCTACCCCCACCAGCCCTAAGACTCATGTCGAGAAAGTGGTCATGCAAGTCTCGTCCTTCAAAGGAGTATGTGAGGGAGCCACATGCATGCTGGACTGATACAAAAGCCGTGTCCTGGTTGGCGTCTGATGGTCAGGCTTTGGCTTCCTTGCAGAATGCCCCCCAACTCTGCTAGGGCCACATGTCACCTGTTGAGCTGGCTGTGGCCTCATTGATTGTTTTGCCGGGGGAGGCCTTCAGGTCTAATCTGAGGTGCCCAAAACCCCAGTGTTGTCTGTCAGATGACATGTTGTGTAGGGCGTATGACACAGGCATGCTGCGTCCCTCCACACTTTCACCCTTACGTCACGGGAACTGGAACGCTCCATGGGTTGCCCCTCCTGCTACAGCTCCTCAGGTGTATGGTGTTCCATAGGCTGCTCCCAGGGTTTCGAAACCGTGAGGACATCTGCTGCCTGGTCAAAGGGGGGTCCGCCTTCTGCCCTCCGGTCTCCTCAGGATGCATGGCATCTTTGGCGCATCTCTCTGCCCATGTTGTTTGGCCGCCGAAGGTGGCATATTTTATTTTATAGACTCATGTGGGTCACAAAGGACTTTGTAGCCATATAATTCTCGAACTTATGCGCAAAAATGATCATTCAGTGCTTAATCTGTGCGTCAAGACAGCATTGTCTTGACTACCATTGGCCGATTTGGATGTCAATCAAATCATCTTGTAGCCAATAATCTCAGGTTTCAGGCGATGTGTCGGACTTCTAGTTTCCTCCCACTGTTCCCGTCATATTTGAATGCGTAAAGAGGAAGACGGAGCCTTTTTCACGGAGAACACGCGCTATAACTATATAAATAATAGCTTTTCTGAAAACATTTCAATATCTGGAAAAAATGCTATTTATAGCAAGAGTAATAGCCAAAAAATTATATAAATGGATTTTTGGTGTAAAAACATTGATAATTTGCATGTAAAACACTTTGGCACAGTTGGCACAAAAATGGACCACTTGTGCCGAATGTGCCCATTAGTTACAAAAAAGCCATCCATCCATTTTCTACCCTTTAATCCATTTCTAAAGCACCGCCTTATCCAGGATTCATAGAATCGAGGTTATAGTGGTAACTTTTGGTTTACGATATTGACATAAGATAAACATCTATTAATGGATTCATATTCATTTTACACATTTGACAAAACTATTCATTTCAAAGGGGATACAATTGTTTAAGGTCTAGAGAGTGAATATTGTGATCCAAGGGGCCCATTTTATATTTTTCAAATTACGTTAAAGTTTGTTCAGTCATGCGGTAAATCTTGAATTCAGTGATAACAACAGTACCTACTAACCCTGCAACTACAGCTCAATAAAATCCTTTACAGCTAATTATCTGACAGTGGATGTCCGCTAACGTGAGCAACCTGTACGCTAACTTCTTCGTTGCACCATGAGGTTAGCAGCAAGTTAGCGTAAGTTCACCTAACTTAGCTGTTTAATGCTGTAGTTAGTAAACTGCCTTTAAGTGTAGGTTAGTTAACAGCAGCACTACTGCACAGGTCGCGGATTCCATTTAACTCACCTTTTCATTTTCATTCATTTTAGCGTTGTGACTCTGGTCCTTACCTCTGCGCAGTGTTTAGAGCGAACTTGTGACGCAAGTGTTTTGCGACACACAGAGATACGTCGCATGTTAGTGGCGTAGACGTATTGCGAAAGTAAACAAACTGGTAATCCACTGGCATACGTTCGAGTTTTTGCGCACATAATAGGAAGCTTAAACCCAATGGATCTCTATTAGTGAATAGTGTCAAAATATTCACAAGAATACTATTTATGCGATCAAATAATCCATGGGTGGGCCGAGCCTGTGTGGACCATAAATTATGTCTGTGGAATCAGTGGAATGACGTTTGGGCCTGGCCTGAACCAGTCTAAAGTCAATTACTAAATGGAATATATAGCTCCATAATAGAGGCTGCATCCAGAAAAACCTGATTCCATTTCATTTTTATTGACATAACAAGGTTGGATTTCACTCATCTTGTGCTGTCCAGTCTCAAAGGTTACATTTAAACCTTATGGAAGGACATAATACTGCCCAAGTCGTATGCAGCCAGGGTATGTAAGGGACTCCTTTAAAAAGGCAGCATTTAAGAGTTTTTTAAACAAAGATACCCTTTTCTGTAGAAAAGTAAAAACGGTAAAATCCGAGGCACTCTTGATAAAAAGTCCTTTAATGAGGGAAAGGGGATTTTTAAGAGTTTATATTTGAAATGGTATTTTTCCATCAATCTATTCCGAAAGTCCTGTCTACAATTTGTGTTAAAAGATATATTTATCGATATACAAACAAAAGGTTGGGCACTGCACATGTGAAGGAAAGCCATTAATGATAGAATTGCAACACAATCATATAAAATTGTCATAAAAACAAATAAAGGGACCTAAAAATTTAAAACAGTGACAAAAGACATCCAGGGAATATAACAAAAGACAAAAAATTCAATTCAAATTCCCAAAACCACAAGTTTCTTCCTAAGAGGTGTTGAAATGTCTGAGAACATATATGTACCAGCATGAACATAAAATCTTAATTTACAAAAGTCTTTCTTAAAATATCATATCATTGACATGACATAATGGCAGTAAATTAAATCCCAAGGTTTTATTTTTATTTTTTTATGTATGAAGATGAACTTGTTAAGCATCCTCAGTCTTAATCTCCATTGCATTCTCGCTGTAATTTCCATTGTTCCCTATCGGGCAATTTACCATATTATTCCAAGTTCCTGACTCAAAAGTCTTTTCCTCCATTGGTTTTCCAATCCAGGCTCCATAACCTTGGCCACCAAGAGCCTGAAAAAATAATGTTTTCGATTTCTGGAAGTTTTCGGCCAACATCTTTGCATGAGCGTATGAAGGTAAGGAAAGGAGATCACTGCGCCCAGATTTCTGACAGAGCTCGCGAAAAAGGCAGAAGAGGTTAGCCTTGCAGACCCGGGACACAGCCATCTTGTTACTACAGACAAAAGGTATTATTACATACTGAAAATCAATGAATTTTCTTAACAGTTTTGCGACCTACCCATCTAGTTTGCCTTTAGTCCCATCCAAAACTTCCACACAGTTCTGGTCTGGAAAGCTCCAATTCACGCTGGATTCTTTTGTCTTCCCCGTGTGTCGGGTGGAGTCATACACACTAACCCGTCCCACCTACAGCAGACAGCGTCCAGGAGACAAAAAATGAAAGATGAAGTCAGTGTTTATTCTCCAGGCGCATTGTCTTTTTAATATTGAGGGAAAACGTCCCTAAACCCTAAAAGTAGTCAAAGTCATGTGTTTTCAAATAGTAATGGAATTGACCAGATGCCTATAGTCTCCAAAAATTAATATAAAATATTTTGGAGCGGACCAATAAAAATAAACCAATGGGATTCATTCATCCTCAACGAACCAATGTTTACCCCCTTCACCCTCTTCCTGTTTCTTGTGAGTGTGCACACCTGAGTTATCGGATTTCCTAAAAAATAAAACGACTGAACAGAAAATGTCAATTTCACGTTTGCCACCCACTCTCCCTGTTGTGACAAAGAAAAGAAAATGCTGGATGTTTGGTTTGGTGGAGAAGTAAGGGGAGGGGGGAAATGGTTTTGAGTTGGTGCTACGGCTAAGCTAACAAAATCGCTTACTGCACCTTTAAGGTGTGTGTGTCTTCTGGCCACCCTAGAAAAGCCATGTTCCAGCTTCTTCCTTCTGGCGGAAGATATCGTTCGCTGAGATGCAGGACATCTCGATATGCTAACAGTTTCTTTCCACAAGCTGTTAGAGCACTTTAATGATCTTGCCTTTGTATTGAAACTGTTCTAGTTGATTTATTTCACAGTGTCAATTGTTTCTTGTTTTGTTTGTTTTATTTCTGTGCTTTTAATTTTGTTTTATTTATGTAATTGTCTTGTGCACACTGGGGACTTTTGAAAATGTATTCCAATGTGGTTTTACTGCAAATGGCAAATAAATGAATCGGAATCTGTGTGTGTTTGTGTGTACACACACTGCATATCTTTAGCGAGCACAATACTTCTATCAAGAAGCAAGTTTATAACAAAAATTATATTAATGACATAAGCACTTGAGTGGCAGCTCTGATTGCCACCTGTGGTGCTAATATATAAAGCCCTTTGACCCTTACCTCAGGGTGGTTGAGCCGAAAGGGCGATGGTAGAGCTTTTGACAGTGTTTCTCCATCTCTTGCGAGTCGACAACAAACAGCTCGTGTGAGATGCCCGTGACTGTACAAATATCCTGAAACACACAATTGTAAGTCTACCGATCACAGTAATATAAATATTTCACTTCATAAGACTGTGTCTTACCAAGACTGATGGACTTTAGGTAGATGGGATGAAGGAAATGAGACAGCAGCGCCCCCTGCAGCCCAAGCACATTCCAGCGTAGGATCTTATCACTGCAGCTCATGGTGCGCAGCCTCTCCCCGTGCTGAATGCCATCCCAGGTGGGAACAATATCACTCGACTCCACAGGGATGGTGCCTTCACCTGGTACAGACGCACACTTGTGAGTAGAAAAGAAATCTTCACTGCAGAGCGGCTGACAGCCATGGTTCTTGTCACTCACCGTTCTCAACTTTAGTTCGTAACTTTCCTTGTTTAGCATTCTCAAAAAGGGGCTGGTGACCCACAGCTTCATCACCCGCTTCACTGCAGGATTTATCGAAGAGAGCCCCGTCTCCACATGGTGCTGTACTGTGAGAAAGAGGTGGGCATAAACACACATGCAAGTGACTACCAAATCCAAGGTGTGTGAATGATGAGAGTGAGGTTAAAACATCCCATAGTCTCACCTGATGTAGAGGTGAAAGGTGATGTCGGATTTTATTCTCAGCTTGTTTTCGTCAGCTGGCTCAAATATACTGTCGTCTGCTCCATCAAAGTGTCTGAGCAGCTCACTATACAGAAACCTGATAGCAGAGAAGAGGTACACTTGTACTGTCCTGCAGACTGTGTCTGACAAGCAAAGTATATTTAGAACTGCGGGATTTTTTTACCGGACAAACCCCCTTCTAGAGATGATCTCTGCATGGCAATCATTTACAGTCTCCCCTTTAAGACTCAGTTCCTCTCCTTTAACACAACGATTACCTGGTGAGGACAAAACAACAGATTTCATCAAAGAACACAGTAATGCACCCTCAAGGTCATTTTCAGGCCCAGTGTGAGCATATATGTTCATTCAAATCTGTAGGGGCTGAAAGTTGAAAGCTGTAACATTCTTGTTTATTAGGCTACATTTACCTGTCCCCAGGCTGACCACAGTGCCCAGACCCTCTCCTCTCCTCATAACGATGGTGGCAAGAATCTTGCGTCCTAGAAGACTGTGCTGTATCCGTGTGGTCAGGGCATTAAAACGCTGGTGACTCAACATTGCTATTTGGTCGTGCAGAGTGCTGCCACTCACTGGAAGCTACAAAGACAAAGGACAATGAAGGCAAAGAACCCAATTATTGTTCGATCCATGAAAGTCATAACAAAATAGGTCAAACCTCTGCAGGGATGAGTTCTCCTGTTCGTGCTGCTTTCTCAGCCTCTCCAATCAGAATCCTCAAAGCAGCATCCGCTGCCTCCTGTTTGCCTTGTTTCTTGTTGGAAGCACAAACGGGAGGAAACCAGCGCCCACCCAGTTTAGCCTGGTACGTGAACCTGAGCAGTGAAAATGATGTGTACAAATAAATCTCTCAAGAATAATTTAACATATTACCAACTTTGGCTCATGGGCTGGTCCAGACTGGTCCACAAGTCGGATCTCTGCAGCAAATCCACGAGCTCTTGCATATTCCAGCAAGCCAGAAACAGCATTGTTGTTGAGATAGTTGATTAGGTCGCCTACTCCAGCCTCATGCGCCGCTCGCAGTGCGTCTGCAGTTAAAGGGGGCAGGGGTAGACACGGGTTCCCAAAGGCTTCATCATCATTGCAACTACTCAGTGGAAAGTGGGGCTAACAATGAACAAAAAAAAACAATGTTATTTGGATTTCAGAATATACAGATTGTGTGCGTTTCTCACCTTATTGGACTGCAGTCGACCCTCTGCCATCAACTCTTTGACTGCCTCCTCTGCTGCCAGCTGCCGGGCAGCCTTTTTGCTTGGAGCTGAGGCTTCTGGGAATAAAGTCTCTCCAATCTTCACCTGGTACATAAACCTGTCAACAAGCACATTTGATTGGAAAAAACAGTGACTAAATATATAAGTGATGCACAAGGCATTGAGAAATATTGGTGTTGGACAACTACCTTCAAAAACATTATTACTTAGGTCTCCCATAAAGTAAATATAAGAAAGTAAGTAAGATGTTTTGTGTATGCACAACAACCTTCTCCAGATACACTCAGAAAATAAATTCCATTCTTAATGGAACAAAAAAGTAAACTATACTTAAAAGGTATATAGGAGGATTTTCTACTTCTTCTAGGTGGATCATCAACACTGTTGGTCCCCTCAGTTGTCAATCATTCTGGTATTACGGGCGTGTCAAATAAGACCAGAGAGTTTTGTTCAAAAAGTGGAGAAGGCGGTTCCATCCTAAAATTAAAAAAAGGTCTATATACCTGTACCTTTAAGGCTCTCATTCTAAAGCATTCAAATATTGTGAAAGCCCAGACTTCTGGTAATCAAATAGGTGTTCTTGCACCTCCGGAAACCTGCTTCTTTGTGGAAAACTTGTTATTGACAATGATCCGCCATAATGAAGGAAGCTTTAGGTACCTTGGGTCATGTGGTGGACCGGCCTGACCAGTCACGATGAACTCAATGGAGTTCCCGCTACGTTGGCTGTACTCCATTAGGACAGACACAGGATTCTTTCCCCCAGGAAGTGAACGAGACAGGGGCTGCCGAGCTCCATCACATGTCCTGTCTTCTCCACTGTCTGATCCTTGCATGTTTTCATGAGTCCCCTAAGGGAAATATTTTTTTTCCATTAAAACTGCAATACCATTATGCCTCATATGTTTAGTACAGAAATGCTTACACTTTCTGAAATTAGACTTGTAGCCTGGCCCACTGTGGAAGTGCCTCCCTCCACCCCTGAGCCAGGCCCACCCTCCATTTCAGCAGCCAGCACTCGCAGAGCAGCAGCAGCAGCATCTTTCTTTGCTACTTTTTTACTTGAGGCTTCAGCAGCTGGAAACAGTTTTCCATTCAGCATCACCTGCATACGGAATCTTAAACAGGCAAAACGACACCTTGATTTTCAAACACAAATCAGCTTTATTTGTTTTAGTGCAAACACACAATCCAAACCTTGGGTCGTGTGATGGTCCTGATTGGTCAAGTAGGAGGAACTCACAGCTCTCGCCAATATATTGAGCGTATTCCATCAGTCCACTGACTGGATTCTTCAGTTTAACCTCTTGTAACTTCCCCAAAAAGTTCTGAGGAGGAGGTGCAGCCAAAGACACAGCTACAATCCCCATGTTGTTACCTCTTACCGAATCAGTTTCTTTTCGAATGGCATTAAGGAACTCTGGGATTTCATCAGTCGCCCACCCTTCACTGGACTCTTTACCCTTAGGTAATCTGAAAGCTGAGGCCTATGTGAAACAAAGTGGAAAAAGGTCTCACCGTAAGCCAGGGAATAACTGTAATGACTACCAAAGTTATGATTATGTTACTTACTGCATCACTGTGTCCATTGTCTGCAGAGCCTTTCTCGTCCAATGGCAGAGGTTCTAACCCTGGTATTGTTGTGGGTACTGATGGACTTTTCTCCAGTTCATTCAGACATGATAAGGCCTCTTTGCTTTTGATGCTTCTTTCCATCCTTCCCTTGGAGTGAGCAGAGAGCGCCCATGTTGGAGGAGTTACTTCGGTATTTTTATTAACTTCTCCTTGTTTTGAAAGAACAAAAAGTGTTGGGTTGATTTGCTTGGCACCCCTGAGCCCCAAATTTTTGGCTATTGCAAGAGCGGTGGCCTCTTGCACACCAAAAAGGTACTTCAGAATTTGCTCTTTCTGATGTGACATTGTTAAATCTGTGAAAATATTGCTGTGGACAATGTCTTCGCTTTCTGACTCTTCGTCCAATGACTCTGATGAGGAGGAAGAAGAACAACTTGACTCAACAATCACATCAGAGTCCTCGTTGTCTTGATTTGTATCTGTTGAGAAGGGCTGGGAATGGTCTTCAAATTTTAGCGAGTCTAGTTTGTTGTTAATCACTGGACAGGGATGATCTCTGCATAGACTCCACTCAGGAGGGAATTCACCTTGCTTGCTGGCCTTTTGTGATTTTTCCAAACAATACAGAGCTTTGTTCACAATCTTTTTTGGGAGATGCAACTTTATGGCCAACAGTTTAGCTGAGATTCTTTCGCCTGGTTTTAAGTTTTCCAAAGCTGTGTAAACCTGCTGCGTGATATCTGGGGTGAGGATGATGCTCACTTTACCATTTCTCGATGAAATATATTTCTGTTCTTGTTTCCCCAATCCTAGCTGTTGCTTCTGAATGGACAAAGTCTGGAAAGTGTTACATAAGACGTTTGTAGTAGGATCTAGTGGCTTGTTTGGGTAAGGGGTGGCACTTGTTGGCCTGGTATTGGCCTGCCACTGGTTTGGATACACCCGTCTCTGACTTGTAGTAGGTTGACCCGTTTTATGCCTTGGACCTTGTCCCCATCTTCTGCTTTGCCCACTATTTGGATCTGGAAAATTATTATACCTGGCTTCTGGCTGATTTTGGTGCACAGAGTAGCCTCTCCAAGCGGTTCTGAACTCTGGGGCCTCTGCGCTCTGCCCTCTCAAAAATTCAGCCTGTTGTTGTCTAAAAGAATGAGAAACATCACCGTGGTTGGAGTTGCTGGGAAAAGCAAAAGGAGCAGCAGGACTGCTTGGACTAGAGTAGAAGTACGGGACCTGGTAGGATGAGTTTGGGCCAGAACGGCAATAATCTTCTCTGAATTGTCCGAAGAATGAAGGTTGTCGAAAATAGTGTTTATTGTACCCTCCTCTACCTCTGCTCATAGCGCAGGGGTCGAGTGGAGGACGCTGAATCTGAGGCTTTGGGACTGTCGGTTCCTCCTCTTTGGCTTGTCTTTAGCTTTTTTAAACTTGGAAATATCTGTAAATAATGAAAAAAAACAAGTTGATAATCAGCACTATTATAATGCAGTTGATACAAAAATAACCTTAACTTTTGTAATTTAAATTAAATATTCTTTTCACATCACTACTATTTATGGAGCTGAGTGAAAACTGACCAGCCAACCTACAAGGATACTGCAGGGTGACTGTCTCCCTCAGTCCTCCTGAAACACAAGTCCAGGCCAAAGGGCGACTGGTGATTAATTATTCAAGTCTCAGTATGACTGTCCCTGCTTGTCCAAAATAACACAAGATATGGATGCTGCCCAAGAAAAGATGATACATTTAATTAGTAATCCAAAGTGGAAACAAGATGCAGTTATCATCTTGCCGTAGTGAATGACCAGTGATTGGTAGAATTAATTCTGAAGCTCAAGTTTGAAGTGCAAATTCCAGAGCGGGATTCTGAGCGGGGACAAAAAGAAGGTCCGATCCCATTGGACAATTATTCCACACTGTACAGCACTAAGTAACAGCCATTGATTAGGCTTCAAGTGTCATTTTCAACATCACTCAACATAAAGCAACACCATCAACAAGAGCCCAGGCCCCAGTCAATCCAGAGTTAGCTCACATCCCTGCAACACAAGTTAGTCTTATGTGCCTGATGTCTATGGTTGATAACTGTGTGAACTTAGGAGATCTTCAACAGACGATGAAGAACCTGCTTTGAGGTCCCCCCCCCCCAATTACCACTAGACAATAATTACATTTTTAGAGCATCTGTACAGACTATATAGACTATAAAGTCCATCAACGTACATAACAGTTTGTAACCCTTGTATTAATGTAAAACATTGGCAATATTACTTAAGCTAAATAATTTAACTATCTACAGAAAACAGTCCATTTGAAAATCATATAATTTATCTTGCTGTTCATCTTGTTTTTTTAGTGCTGTTGACTATTCTTCATTGTTCTTGACATTTCCCAGGTGTAAGGTGAATACATGTTATTTTATTTTACCCTATAAAAATGTGATTTTAAAATACAAATAATGGAAACATATTTTGTTATGGAATTATGAATAGTCGTTAATTGAGGTAATTGATTAGGCAAAGTTATTTTGACTAAACGTTGCATCACTAACATAACATTAGAACCTGTAAAACACGTTTTTCATTTGGAGGACTATACTCACCAGGATTGATGCATTTTTTTTTTAAAAGGTTGATTTAATCAACAAAAAAGTGTATTAAAACTAGTACAAAGTTAGTTAAATGTAATCTAAAAGGTGTATTTCGCGAGTAGAAATAATTCCCAGGAAGTGAAACGCTTTGGATTGGAGCGGATTCTTCTTGAAGAAAGTCCAGTCTTCGACGAGTGTCCAGAGTGAACGACAGAGAATGCTTCTCTTATAAAGGCCTAGATGCAAAATGATGCAAACCCGTTGCAAAAATAGGTCACACGGCTAAAATTAATTTCAATTTGATTGTGACTGGGCGCGGAGAAGGTGCTTTGTAAGTTTCGTTTTCATTATCTGCGAATGGGTTAAGTTTCTATTGTGGCCACGTGACTTCATGACGCCACCTACTACATAATAACGCGCAAAAGCATGCAACATAAACATTAATTAATAATACAAGTAGGTTCATCACAACCATTTACAATTGGAAATGTGTTTCATGTATGTATTTCAAACCGATTTGGCATATTTTCGTTTTTATTTCCCCTGTTGCACACTTCTATCCCTGCCAAATGTGACATGCTACAAAGTGAGATCCATAAAGTCTATTTTATCTCTGCACAAAATTGAACACAAGTAGATAGGTAGGCGTAAATTAAGGATTTGGATCTAAAAGTGCACTTGATTGTAGTTTATATTACTTGATTTGTCTTTCCATTTCATTACAACGAACAGGCAGCGATTGCTTGAACACGTAAAATAAATCAACTATACTTATAAAGGCGTATTGAAAATCTGGTCAAAAAAAATCTTGCAGGGAGAAGGAGATCAGATTCTGCCATAAAAACAAGGAGTTGGGAAATTATCGAAAGCGTAACATAATATGATAGTCCCCCAGGGTGAAGGGTTGAAATCTTATCACTATATCATGCTGGAAGCATCTCTCAACGCTCCTATGACGAACACAAGGCAAGTGAAGGTCATTGAAAAAATGAATAACAATCCGATTCTCTGCAGGCGCGTACCTGAATTAAGCTTGTATGACTTTGCTTTGGTGACCGCTTTGTATAAAAATAGATGCGAGTCCATTGTGTTGATGTAGAAATATACACAAGGGGAATATGCGGTATAAGAGTCGTTTATCATACGCTCATAACATGTGGAGTCAGGACGACCTATGCATCTGCATGAAACAGCTTACACGAAAGAACAGCAGCTGTTCATCGATTTCGTGGCTTCTTATTTTAGCCAGTCATTTGCTTTTTGATAATGACTGCAGTGAAGATGACACATTAGTTATTATCATATCCTTACTTTGTCACATGGGGATCATTTGTGAGTCAAGTGCGAGTTACAGCCTCTATACATTTATCATTAACCTAAGCTCTACGGAAAACTCTGATATCTTCTGCAATTGCTGCTCACACAACGATCCAACAATGGAAACATACATGACCATTTCAAATGATACATTTATAAACGGAAGGGCTCCATGTGAATTCTACTGCGTAAAAACAGAAACAAGCTTTAACTATTGCATAAGCTTCGAAATGCATGCGTTTATCAAAATATATGTTAGTCCCAACTCCAAGGACCAGACAATAGAGCATCCTTTCAGTGTTGACCAAGCTGCTGCTAACCACGATGGATGCTGCTAACATGGCCAGGCTAGCTCACCGCTGGTATATCAATCATTCAGAACTCCAAACAGAACCAAAAGCATCGCCGCTACAATATGTGGAGTCACAAAATGTGGTCCACCACGTCAACAGAATCGTAAGCAAAAGCCACCCCGCTTCCCACTCACCTTTATGGCGTGATTCGGTTGCGTTTCTCTTGCCGCAGGATTATTTCGCAGCGACAGAAACGAAACGAAGAGATGCGAGTGACGTCGTTATCATGCGACACGCAAAAAAATAAATAAAAAGCACGTCGCATTTTCTATGACAGATGTAATCATAAAAAATATCGCACCATAAATAAACAGGTATATAAGAGAATAAGTCGAATAGTTGTGCTTGAACATATTGAATTAAATAAATATAAATATAAAGTATGTAAACTTCGGAAAAAAACATGAGAATGAATGGTTGTTAAAGTGACTTATTGCCATTCTGTGATACCATATTGAAAATTCTTTACTTCAGTGTGGCACATTATTACTTCAGGTGAATAATATAGGATCAACAGTGTTCATTGTACAGTCTGACATAAAACATATGCAATATTTCAACACTGATTAAATAGACCAAGAAAAACACATACAGTTGTATCATTAAATATGCAGCGGCTAATCATATTACATATCCATGTGCTATAAATATACACTAGGTGGCAGCATTGTTCTTCAATAAAATGTACATTGACGAATCAGGAGACGCAAAAGTAAACACGGCAAAGCTGCAGCAATGTTTTTTTTGAGCTGCGTAACAACCATAGACTGTATCTCAACCACAACCTGTATCCTTTGGCTAAACAAGATACCCAGACTGAACCTAAACAGAATAAGATCTCAAGATGCACCGCTGCCACAAAATCAGCGGAGTATATGAGGGGTATCATAGTGATTACGTAGAATAATACTCTTTTAATTGCATTCCCTGCGTCCTCTCTCTCCCCTCAGCACATTTTACGCTCTGGCTCCTCTATCAGCAGCATCACCACGCAGCCCTCTGATTCCTGACTCTATCTCTCCTCCTTACACCTCCTCAATGGCTTTTCTTACTGCATTAAACCAGAGGGATGAAGCATGAAGCCGGTTGGGACTTTGAAGATGCTGATATTTGCAACACTACTGCAAGGTGAACGACTTTTGAAATTGTGTTTAGGAGGCTGGCCGGTAAAAAAAAAAAAAGATTATCAATTTGTTTTACCCTGTTTTGACTGAGTTTGGTAATTGTACTGTGGATAGAAAGCTCAAACTATGTTATAATTTGCTAAAGATAGCAAAGATACTAGCAGTATGTGCACTGACCTATTCTAATGCTGAGCTGTGTTTACTAAGATTATGGAGGACAATTAGGAAAATATAATAATGTTAAAGCACACTGACAAATTTTCTGCCTGCCTGGGTGCTTTGGAGTTGTTTTTCCTCTTTCTCTGTCCAGTTCAGAAAAAAAGACTGACATGTTTACTACAGTGCAAGAGCAGGCTGCATCAGGGATAATTGATTAAGATTAGCAGCAGCCACTATCTGTCTTTGTCTATTACTGTGTGCCAGCTCTTCCCCTCAGCAGACTGTACAGTGCTGCCCATATTCATTGCATCTTGTCACAGTGAGTGGTCCATTTTCACAGCTCTCTTTCCTTTCCTCTTCACTGCTAAAACCTGCAGTGTCAGTACAGGGTCCTCACCAGCGCTTCCTTCTCAAGAAGCTGCTGCGGGATTACAACCCCATGGAACGACCTGTGGCCAACGACTCGCAGACCCTCATAGTGCAGTTTTCTTTCACACTCATGCAGGTGATGGATGTGGTAAGCAAGTATAGCAGCTACTAGGACTCCAACAATGTTACCGTGTTACCGTCCTTGCTGTTTATTACACATCTTACACTTGTTGTTATAGGATGAAAAGAACCAGATTTTAACCACAAATGCTTGGTTACAAATGGTGAGCAGGGATATTAAAATGCATAGTCACGTCTCAATTTAAAACACGCGTATAAAGTGTACTGTATGGCTTGTGCATTCCAGCAGTGGTATGATCATTATCTAAGGTGGAACCAGTCAGACTATCCCGGAGTAAAGAACCTCCGTTTTACTCCTGACCAGATCTGGACCCCCGACATACTGCTTTACAACAGGTTGGGAGCAGCAATGGCAATTATCACTGTTTAGAAACATTTTAAGTGACAGTTAAAGTGTTGTTCTTCTACAGTGCTCATGATAAATTTGATGCAACCTTTAAGACCAATGTCCTGGTCAATTCAAGTGGATTCTGTGAGTATCTTCCCCCAGGTAAGGTTTTCATCCACTCTTTTATATATATTTTTTATTTTATTTTATTTATTTTGGTAATTTCTTTTACAAACTGTCTGTATGATATTTCCATGTACAGCTGCAGTCATGTTGTCTTGGTCAATTTCCAGATAGATGGATAGAAATACTTGATTCATCCTGAGTTGTACAGCTGTTAAAACCAAGGAATATCGTTAATTCTTTCCTACCTACCTCCATATATGGTACCATTATAGAGTCTAATAGTTTCTCATTTCGTCTAACCATAAATATTTAATTTGAAAGAATCACTGGTTTGAAATTATTAGCTTCAATAAACACAAAAAGGTAAATGTTTTCTTTTATTGAAAGAAAAATACAAAATAATCAATTAAAACATCTCAGAAATGTCTTTAATCCAATCCACGTTATTTTACAACAAATACATACAAATAATAACAAAGTAAAATTATGAAAATAATTTTACTTTGTTATTATTATTGAGTGGATAGCGCTCTCGCTACTCAGCAATAAGGTCCTGGGTTTGAATCCCGGTCGGAACAGGGCCCTTCTGAGTGGAGTTTGTATGTTCTCCCCTCTCTCTATATAAACACAAAATACAGAATAATCTATACCGTACATAAAAAAAATAGCATTAATAATAAAGGACATTTATAGGCACAAATCACCACACAATTCATGCAAATACCATATATTCTTCACGTAAACCTGCTGTCCAGGTTTAGTTCCAGGTTGTGTATGTAGTGGGAACATAGGTAATAAGCCTAACTCAATTGTTAAAATCAGCACGTTATGACCGGCTCCTCTTTTCTAATCTATCAAAGGAATATTCGTCAGCACTTGCAGCGTGGATGTGCGGTGGTTCCCGTTTGACATCCAACGCTGTGAGCTGAAGTTTGGCTCCTGGACGTTTGATGGCTGGCTGTTGGATATTCAGATGAAGGAGGCAGATGTGTCGGGATACATGACTAATGGAGAGTGGGATTTAATAGGTAAAAAGAATCTGTTTTTGGTCATCATAATAGTCTATTGTGGCAGAAACAATATCAACACAACATGGAACAGCAACAAAAAACAAGCAAAAACACTAAGGTTTTGTCAGTCATAGCTTCAAATAAACAAACAATTCTCTTCTGTTGAGTGTTTGTGTTTAGCATTAAATCTTTTTTTTATGTACAGTATAGTTTAGTCCTTCTAGTAGAGTTCACAGACTTTTTTAGTTCATAATAGTGTTTTATTGAGCCAAAAATACTGCCTGCATTAGTCAAAAGTTTAAATCCATTTATCAGAATCAGAATCATTCTATTTATTGCCATTGTGAGTAACAAGAAGTCACAAACTAGGAAATTGCTTTGGCTCTCGGTGCAAACAAGTTAAAAACTAAAAATTAAGTGTCAATCAGTTATCTAAATATAGTTCAAATTAAATACAATAAGTGAATTCCTTTGTCTGTAGGGGTTCCAGGAGATCGTCATGAAATGTTTTATGACTGCTGTGCGGAGCCGTATCCAGACGTTACCTTTGTGGTGACGCTGAGAAGAAGGACCCTGTTTTATGCTTTGAACCTGCTGATCCCCTGTGTGCTGCTGTCCTCCATGACGCTGGTCGTGTTCCTCCTCCCAGCTAACTCTGGGGAGAAGATTAGTCTGGGTAAGGAAGAACGAGGACAAATATCATATAGTTATATATCATTTGTGGACATAACACAATACTCTCACAGAAATATTTTTGCTCAACTCTTAAGGGTTTATTTCATTTTATTGATATAGAAATTATTTTACAATTTTTATATAATTTTAAAACAAACCTACAAAAGATATTTGATTTGATTTATATGCATTACTGTAATAAAGCTCATTTATAATAAATGCATAAATAGATTTCAACTTAAATTATTTTGTGCATTTACTTGCAGCATTTTTGTTTTAGTTACGCTTATGTATTAAATCAAAATAACAAAAAATAATGAAATAAGTACAGTCACACCACCTTTGTAGTTTTCAAATCAAATTAATGAGGATACTAAAGGTTGAAAGATCAGGTCTGAAAAAATTTATTCGTAGGGTCAATATTATTAGTGTGACATTAAGACATTAATTGTTCCTACATGTTTCTGATAAGGATGAAGATAAAACATTGTTGCAGTTTAAATTTCATGTTTATAGGCCATTTAGCACAGAACATATTTAATGAAAATGCCATTTGCTGGTATTATGCAACCTTCATACAGAAAAGGATCAAACACAAGACCTTTAACTGTGAGGCACAAACGCAGTGCTTGGTTTTGGTCCGATAGGGCAGGGTTTGATCTTATGGTCTATGTCGGCATACGTCAAACACACGGCCTGCGGGTGCATGTTTTACATTTTAATGGTAATATTCTCAAGAAAACATCCATCTAAAATCATTTTAATTTGAATGTAAACGTTATACCCATTTACTTTGTAATAGTTAAAAAATATTATACATTTGATCAGTCAAAACTTCTTCCTCTTTGGTCCAATTTGTTTTGAAAAATCTATCAGAAAATACTATCTAAAGGCATATTATTTGTTAAAAGAATTATGAAGATGTGGAGGAAATGAGTAGTAAAATGTAGAAGATTAACCACAGATACAAAAAACAAAAACAAAATGTAAACAGACTTTCCACATCGAGTACCTTAGACCTTGGTATAAGAGTAAAGACTTCAAAAGTTGTGTTTTTTTATTCACCTCTGACCAAAATGACACCATGGTCTTTCTGTTTGAGGGTAAAATGTTATTTTGAAAATCAAACACAAATGGATGACACATGAAAGCTGTAAACTGTTGTGTGCTTCATATGTGGACATCTTCCTCCTGCAGGCATCACTGTCCTCCTCTCTCTCACCGTCTTCATGCTGATGGTTGCAGAGATCATGCCGGCCACTTCAGACTCCGTGCCGCTCATAGGTCAGATTCAACACTTTTATATTTTTTCTGTATCATGATATAATAGTAGAAAGATTAATAGTCTTGCTTCTTCATCATGCTAAAGTTGGAAATTTTAGACTTCTTTCCTTATTATGCTAAAGTTGGAGATTTTATACTGCTTATTTTTATGCTAGAGTTAGTTAGATTTTATTTTATGTTAGTATAGAGTTATTATTCATTTATCTTGTGCTGTGTGCTCCTCATTCCTACTGCCTGTAACTTGTGATGCAGCACTGACATCTCCCCACTGTGGGAAAAAGGATCTCTTCATCTTAATCTAATAATAGATTACAGTTAAAGGTATTACTCAATAGAATATGAGACAAATCTGTTTATCCATATTTTAAGTATCTTACAGTACTTTCCATTTATCAGTTTCATTTGATTGGCTTCACGGTGTTAGTGGATGCAAAGTAGCGATTCATGTGATATATTTATAGATAGTCTAGCTTGGTCTGTCTACTTTATTTTGTCACTTCTAAGCATCTTCTGTGGTTTCTCAGGCCAGTACTTTGCCAGCACCATGGTGATCGTGGGCATGTCTGTCGTAGCCACTGTCATTGTACTTCAGTTCCACCACCACAATCCCAATAATGGACCCATGCCGCGCCTGGTGAGTGACTACTATTATTCATCCGCAATATTTTCCCTTCACTGTGTTCAATTATATACCGACTGACAGATCAATATAAAAACATAATAAAGCACACTAAAACAGAACAACGATACAATAAAAATGATTAAAACAACTCACAGTAAAATGAGTGCAGAGAGGGCCGCATGATTCACACAGTGTTAAAAATGAACCTGATGTGACCCGTCTAAATCCACTGACGCTGTATTTAAGCAGCTGTAGTGTCATGTTTAAGGCTATTGATATTTGTCATTATTAAATACAAATATAATCACAACCATTTTGTAAAATATCTGAGCAATGCCTGATAGGTTGTGTTCATATTCTGTGATTCTATTTCAGCTTCAGACAGAGGACAATGCAACTCTATAAGGAAAAAGCCATTTTTGAAAGAAATGTTGAAAGATTCACAATCGTGCCATATTCTACTGGCCAACATCATGCACACCTTTTTTTTATATTGTCATTACTTCCAGTCAACTTTCTCAGAAAGTAATTAGACCATAGTTGTTATGAACCGACAAAGAAGATGTGGAACTTTGTGACAGTTTTTGTTTCATGTGGATTGACTCAGGAATTAAGTCACTAGGATTAGGACATCATGCTATTGCCACTTTTTTATTGTACATAATCATATCCTGCACAGACTATATTTTTAACCTCTAACATGTTCCTAGTGATTCTATTCCATGCCAAATGTGACAAATTTTTTCAAAGATTTCTCCAGTGTGAGATCAATAAAGTCTATCTTATCTTATCTTATCTTATCTTATTAGCTCTAAACTAACTATAGTTACTATAGTTACCTGGAAGAATTTTTTTTCTGCCCTCCATCACAATATTAACCCAGAGGCTCTTTGGAATGTTGTGATATCACATGAATGCAAACTTTTAATCACAAAGAATCCAGTGACATTCTAAATAGCAAAGAAATATACATTAAGATTCAGATAATAATTATCAAAAGAATAATATAATTGAAGTTTTTTCTAAGTCATTTACTTTTGTATGTGTGCGCTTTGGAGATAAACATGTCCACTTTCACGAGCAAAAAGAATGATTACTTTAATGTTATTGCTTTAGTTTTTACAAGCTACAAAGAAATAGGAGTCCCAATGCACATAAAAGTTGGTCTTATTTATTCATAGGCTGTATCTATAAATAGACATCATAAATGGAACAACCATGTGCAACTTCATTGTAGATAAAGATAACAAAAAAGGCCATAAAAGTATCCATAAACGGTTCTTTCTCTGTAAGCTGCACCTGGTCCTGCTGCAGTGGATTCCCTGGTTCTTGCGGATGAAGCGTCCAGGGGAGAACGCGGACCCGCCTCTGCCTCACTGCCCAGGGGACGTCCCGAGCAAGAGTCTGTCCTCTCCTACCACCACCACCACAACCAGCACCACCATCCCCACACCCATGCCTCCAGGCCTGCACCCCAGCCTCACCGCATTACAGGTAGGTTCAATCAGCGGCTGATCGTCAGGAGAAACAATATGACCAGACTTAAATGTGACTATATTCATTTTTTGCATTATCATTAGTGTGCTTATTTCCAAAATGGCAAGGGTAGTCTGTGGTACTTATTTTTTAAAGAGAGACCAAAAATACATGCATGTGAAAACTAGTGATAGAACAAAACTGTATGGACAGCGAGAGGAACTTGTTGGATGGATTTTTGTAGATACTGGTAACAAAATCTACTCTGGTAAAAGTACTGAAATCATTTTCCTTAAAGTATAATAGCATAATAGACATTTTAAGCGTTGCCTTTAAACACCTAAACAACATGTTACTGTTAAGAAGTTTCATACTGACAGAGATGACAATGCACAAAACAGAACCTAAGTCCAATTTATGAAGTAGATTATAGTAAAGTTGCTAGATACTACTGATATACAGTGCTGAATTATAAAGTACATATTTACTGTATTTCGAGAGTGCTGTGAAGGGCAGAACCATAATGCAAAATGGTCCTTTTGGTGCTCCTGAAGTGAATGACCTTTCTCAATTAAGCTTTAGAAAAAGCTGAGGTACCTCAAAATGTGAAAATCATTTCTAATCTAGCAGTTTATGAAAATACCTCAATGCGTTTTAGGTCTTTGGCCTTCATCGACGTTGGGTTTCTCTTCTCATTTGCATACTCAAGGTTGTTTGATCAATGCATGTTTGTGTAATCTTTATTCTCCTGCAATCAAGCAGCAACTGCCACCAATGTTTTTCAATTACTTTGTAGTTTTATCTTTATCTGTGGCAAACAGAATTCATGATGTGTGTTATGAATAGCCAATATATGCTGCTAATATTGCATTTTCATCTTCTTTTATGCTATTACTAATGATCAATTATAGCTGAGGTAACTAACTTTCAAAGCAGAAAACATGAACTATGTTATATATAATATAATATAAAATCCATCCAGTTCCTCGCTGTCCATACAGTTTGGTTCTATCACTAGTTATCACATGAATGTGTTTTTGGTCCCTCACACATCAATCTTTTCAGAAAAAGAGAGAAACCAAAAGAGAACCCAAAAGAGAGGGTAAAAGATCTGTGTTGTGGTCTGATTTGTTCTCAAGATTTGACTTTGACAATAATAATATAGTATAATTTTAGGGAACAAAGGCTCTACCCTAGCTTTAACTGATCCATCTTGACATCCGTATTTGCAGGTCAGTCTGGCTCAGCTCAACCACCCACTATCTGCAGCCCATCGCCCCAGTACTCAGGCGGCCGTAGTCCCCAACCACAACCCCAGCCGGGACCCCATGCCAAACGGCCACCTCCCCTACATGGGTTTCCAGTCGTTTCCAAACCCCAGCGACGTGGAACCAGCACAGGGGAATAGAACCCTCAGCCACAGTAGAGGCCACAGCGGCTTCGGTCCAGGAGAGAGCGAAGGCGCCGTGGGAGGAGACACGCCCACACACAAACTCAACTCCCCCCAGGAAACTCCTTTGACTATAGATCCTGAGCCCTCCGCAGGAACCATGGCCGCGGCTGCTCTGGAGGCCGGAGGGGCAGGGGGCAGGGGCAGCCAGAGCACCAGTGTGGCCACCTCTCGCACTGGGGCCGTGGACTCTCAGCTCAGGGCTCTGCTGGGGGAGGTGCAGTTCCTGGTGGAGCGTGTGCGAGAGCAGGACCGGCAGATGAGTCTGGTGGAGCAGTGGCAGTTTGCGGCGGCTGTGGTGGACCGTCTGTGTCTGATGGGATTCAGCGTCTTCAACATCATCTGCACCATCGCTATCCTCATGGCGGCCCCCAACTTTGGAGAGGCCCTGTCCAAAGACTTTCTCTGAAGCATCATTGACTATTTTGGAAAAAGCACAATTTCTTATTATTTTTTTAAATGTTTGTATCATTTTTTTTATGGGTTTTCAAATTTTACCATCAAGGGTGCACTGTTTCTCAAGTTGGGGGCCAGGAACCTCTGGGGGCCAAATGTAGAGGGGTCCCCAAAAGATGATTATCACTACAGTTTCTTACCATTTTAAGTCACAAATCTATGGGATAAACACTATTCGATATTTATTTTCACTTTGCTTGGTTAAATGAGTCCTTGAGCTATTTTCTGATGGACAAGGGATCCCTGGTCCCCAAAGGTTTGAGAGTGGTGGTCAAAATTGGTGCATTATTTTTAGGTTTTTTTTTTACAACTATAATATATTACATGTACAATTGTTTTTATTTGGAGAAATGCCCCAAAGGAGGCCTGCTCAGAGTATTTATTTGTTTATTTATTTATTTGAAGAATAATATAATACGTAATATGGACGCTGAAAATATATTGTTTTTCAGGACAACAGGGCATCCTTTCTATACTGCAGATTTGACGTTGACTTTTTCACTGCTAGAGTATAATCCATTATATGCAGTATGAATATACACTCTTTTGGCACAGAAACAGAAAAGCATGACTTGTGTAAAGATTGTAGGATTCACAGTGATCTGCTGCATGTGGCCAATAGCTGCAACTGAAGCCAGATTTAACCGCTTTCCCTTTCAGAGGAAATTAAAATGAACTGCATTCACTGTTCAGTCTTTATTGATTTCCATTGGAGCTGATGGGGAACATTTTATTGATGTGCAAAAGCGTATGCTGGGTGTGGATCTGTAGAGAGATAAATAATGGTTTATGGTAAATGTATTACATTAAGAATCATTTAAAATGGATACAACTTGATCCATTGCTTTACTTTTATTTCTGACTTAAATGACTTTGTATGGTGTTGTCTGACAATTTGTTTTCACTTCAGCTTAGACACTACAGCCAATTGAAATAAAATATCTGACACATTTAACATTTCCCAATAGTAATACAAACTAACTAGCGTACCATTTACTGTTTAGCTTTATAATCCTTTAACGTTACCTTCATTTCTTCCTGACCTCTGGATCAAAACTATTTCATGACCAACGCGAACTTTGGTGTAGGGACACAGGCACAAAGGCGGGGAGCCAAAGCGAAAAGAATATGGAGGTAATGAAGCACAGCACAGACGGAATGGGGGGCAAATAGAAAGAGCCGCAGAGGGAGGAGGGCTGCAGTGGCACAAGGCGTTTTACAAGCACTGCAAAAACTCAATAATGTCATGAATGAAACCACTTGAAATGAAAGTTACGGCATTTGTTTGAGTGGTGTACATGAACTGGTTATTTTAATACGCCAAGTTTATCTGTGAATTGAGTGAAACTTCAGGAAGAGTTATTATTTAGAATTGGAACAGGTGAAACTCGGAAAATTGGAATATTGTTCAATCGTTCATATATTATCTATGTCAATACATGATTCACTCATATGACGATTGTGGCGTACAGTTCATGGTCAAAATATGTTTTATTTGTTTTATTTACTGCTGTGAGCCATAATCATTGTCATTTTTGTGTGTGTAGTTTTTTCCTGTAATTTAAAGTACAATGTGAAACTAATATATGACTCATTACAGACAAAGTGGGATGTAACAAGCCTTGTATGATAAAAAATGTTGATAATTATGGCTCACAGCTTGTAAAACCCCTCAAAAAAATCTCAGAAAATTTGAATATTTAGAAAATGGATTGAAAACCATAATCATGAAAATGATAATAAACAAAGTCGTACGTCACTTTACATGTGACAAAGATTCTATATCATATACTGGTTTGGTTGGTTTTACATTTTCAGTGAGTTACAGAAAGAAATTAATTTTTGAACGTTACTCTGATTTCTGTTTTTCACCAGTATTTGTTGCCGATTAAACAGGGCCGGTGGAATTCTCACCTCTGACACTCTGCACAGAAAGAGATTTAATCTGCAGCGTTGTAACTGTGAACATGTGTGGGTGTCGGGTGAGCCACTCCACCACTGTGCCAAGCTGTATTTTATTTCTTTTGTGTTCTACCTTTTTGTTTTAATTCCTGCAAGGCGACTGCTGTTGCAATTTTCTATTGTACTGTTATTTAAATTGAATTCACAGGCGCTTCACATTTTACATTTTAAACTCATTTATATTGAAGGTCAGTTACTTAGATGGAGACATGTTGTTCAAATATAAGAGCCAGTTAGATCCGCCCCCACAGGTTCCTGATTGGAACAAATCCTTGAAAGATAGACACCTATATTCTCCTCCAGCAGATCCTACTGCTGATGCTTTTTCCAATGGAGAGGTGGCAGTTTCAGATATGTTAATTATGAAGAAAACATAAGTTGAAGTTGCAAACACTGTCTTTGAATCTTTGAAATAAGTCAGACAGCTGAACTTTGACAAAATATAATTGTTTTCATTGTTTCCTCAAGGAGATGTGGAAACCAAAAATTTACACAATTTAAACAAAAAAGCTCCTGTATTTTAATAAAAGCCAAGAAACGAGTAAGACAGTAACTTTCTTCGGTTTTTACATTTATTCATTTTAGTTTTACTGTTCATTTAGTCACCTAAATCTGTAGTCATTTTAGATGACCAGAAATACATGTATTAAAGCTGTGTAAGTCAGTGATCGCTCAATGGGATGTACAGACAATTTCAATTTTATTTATTTTAGTGTAGGCCTAAATCACAACGACAGTCATGTCGGAGACCTTTACAACAGATTAGAGAATCAAGCGGTCAGAACACAGAAAGTTCAATAATAACAAACACAAAGGTGCCATTAAAGAAAAAAAAAAAACACTTTAAAGTTATAGTTTTAATGATTAGACTAAAACTATAAATTTAAGTTATAGTTTTAGTCTGATAATTTTTTTTGAACTGTGCTGCAGAGACAGAGACGGCCACAATGTGCGGAGGAAGCAAAGGCTCTTAACTGATTGGTCATTAATGAGAGAGCAGGAGAGGAGGGACCAGTTTGGCTCCGGAGATGCAGACTGTAAAAGTACCTAGAGCAGCATTTAAAAGTGACATATATTAGAAATTGGCAGACTAACATCATAATTCATTTAATCATTATTTATGGTCTTGGCAAGAGATGCTGAAATGGTTGACAATTTTAGGAAGTAACTCGTGGCAAAATCGTTTGGTTATCACTTCATATTTTTGAGTTGTGCGTGGCGAGTATAGTGCCAACATATCACCATTACAGGAGCAGCTGAATTCATTTGTCCCGTTGGAGGCTGCTGAGATAGGCACTGGTGAACACCATAAATCTTGTGGCGCTTCTTATTTTATACCCTGCCCCAGCCCATCTGCTCTCTGTCGACTGTCCTGAGTGTGGGCTGCACTGAGGCTGCAGGACTGGAGCAGAACAGAGGTGCTGTGGCCATTTCTGGGTTTGGCAGAAGTTGAGTCCATTAAATCGAACAGTGATTACAGCTAATATGAAGGAATCTATATTTTAATGCTTCATTACGTTTCATGTTTTATGGCTCCGTCTGTGCATCCTTACATTTAGCGGACTTCCATCTCCACAAACCTTGCTCGACAGGACGGCTTCGTCCTCGTTGTTTCCATGGAGATGTTTTTAAAGTTTGGAATTGCGCTCATCTCCATGAAACATGTTTTAAAATATTCTTTAACGCTCCATACTTGAAATCATACAAAACCCCTGAATTTTATATGCTGGTGTTTTACAGAGATAAGATGGTCAAAAGCATTGGACTTTACATTGACAATTACTGTGTCCTGTCCTTGGCCACACGGTCTTAAGAGCAAAAGGATTGTACTGCAGTCCCAATGCAGCACAGTCCTGTACAACATACACACACACACACTTATGCACACACACACACACACTTATGCACACACACACACACACACACACACGCATGCACTTACAAACTCACACAGACAAACGCATGCATGCTCATACGTGATACACTCATATGTATATGGTATTAAATGATTAATTGATTGATTAAATTTAATGAAGGACTTTCAACTACAGCCAGTGTGCCTCGGATGTCACACCCATGGAAAGGCAATGTTTGGTAGTTGAACATGAAATCTGCATATAGTTGTAGTGCTTACACCTTAGTTAGGATTACTTACTAGTTGTACCTTTTAATAGCATAATATTTATGTGATGATGAAAACATAATAATAAATCAACTCGGTCTGTGACTGTCTTGAATTGAATAAAGAGCTGTACAGTGAGGTAAACTATACAGAATAATGCAGCTTAATACATGCCCCTGCAAGGCCAGTGAAAAAAACAATAACACGCCTGGACCCTGACAAACTCAACCCCTCTGAAGTTTGGAGCAAAACCCAAAGAGACTTAAAAATCATGAGCTGTATGACGAGAAACCAGAACTGGAGTGAAAAGCACATAACATATATTGAATACTGTAACATACATGTAAATTCTCAGTTGTTCTATTTATATGCAAATAGGTAAAGTTTGGCCAATTTCCTTCCTTAGGGAACAACTTCACGCAGTTTAATTTGGCCTTTGAGATGTTCTTTGATAACATCTTCGCTCAGGATCAGTCAGTTGTGATAAATTGCTTGTTCTTGAATCAATAAGAAACAGTCATTTGACGAGGCACTGGGTAATTGTCTCCCAGAGCTCATTACAGATGAAAGAAGGTACTTAGGACTGAGAAAGAGCCGTAAATGCACAGGGAGAACTTGTACAACTCCAATCTATGGTGTAAAAATGCTTTCAAGTGATTGTTTTAGAATGATAGAGGGTTGTTATGATCAAACCTGAACTATAACTCTGTATCTGCTTTGATATGACACAATACTTTGGTTTCCCCATATGTGTCTGCACTATCTGCCCATGTCTGTTAGTTCATTTCAGTACTGACGTCTGAGCACAAAATACTGTATGCTATCCTCAATATATCTAGTTAGTTTAATTCAATCTATTAATTTATTTC